GCGATTGCGAAACATTCGCCACTTTCGTGGGCTTCTGGGAGTGACCAGCGGAGGTACGTCATACGCAGCTCATCACGAGACCTCGCCGTCCCTTGGGGGGCTGCGAGTTGCGAAATTGTCGCCACATTTCGTGGTCTTCTGGGGGGGCTGGCGGAGTGACGTCATACGCGGATCACCACGAGACCTCGCCGTCATTTTTGGGGTTGCGATCTGCGCAGTTGCCGCCACTGTTAATGGGCTTCAGGGAGGGCCAGCGGAGTGTCGTCTTACGTGGATCACCACGAGACCTCGCCGCACCCTGTGGGGTCTGCGATCTGCGAATGTGTCGCCACGTTCGTTGGCTTTTGGGAGGGCCAGCGGAGGTACGTCTTACGCTGATCCGCACCCTGGGGGGCGGGGTTCGGCGAAATTGTCGCCACTTTTCAATGGGCTTCAGCGAGGGCCAGCGGAGGGACGTCATACGCAGATCACCACGAGAGCTCGCCGTCATTTTGGGGGTTGCGATGTGCGAATCTGTCCGCCATGTTTCGTGGGCTTCAGTGAGGGCCAGCTGTATACGTCACACGCATATCATCACGAGACCTCGCCGTCCCTGAGGAGGTTGTGATCTGCGAGTTTGTCGTTTTTTTGTTGTTCCCCCTCCCCGTGGGCCTCAGTGAGGTCCAGCGGAGGGACGTCATACGCAGATCACCACGAAACCTCGCCGTCCCCTGGGGGGGCTGCGATTTGCGAAATTGTCGCCACTTTCGTGGGCTTCTGGGAGGGCCAGTGGGGGTACGTCATACGCAGCTCACCACGAGACCCCGCCGTCCCCTGGGGAGTGGCGACCTGCGAATATGCCGCCACCTCCGTGAGCTTTTTGGAGGGCCAGCGGAGTGTTGTCATACGCAGATCACCACGAGACCTCGCCGCACCCTGGGGGGCGGGGTTCTGCGAAAGTGTCGCCACTTTTCAATTGGCTTCAGCGAGGGCCAGCGGAGGTACGCCATACGCAGATCACCACGAGACCTCGCCGTCCCTTGGGGAGTTGCGATCTGCGAATATGTCCGCCACTCTCGTGGCCTTGGAGGAGGGCCAGCTGAGGTATATACGTCATACGCACATCATCACGAGACCTCGCCGCCACCTGGGGGGGTGCGATCTGCGAAATTGTCGCCAGTTGTCGTGGGCTTCTGGGAGGGCCAGCGGAGTGATGTCTTACGCGGATCACCACGAGACCTCGCCGCACCCTGTGGGGCTGCGATCTGCGAAATTGTCGCCACTTTCGTGTGCTTTTGGGGGGCCAGCGGAGTGACGTCTACGCGGATCACCGCGCGACCCGCCGCACCCTGGGGGGCGAGGCTTTACGACATTGACGCCACTTTCGCTGGCTTTTGGGAGGGCCAGCTGACTACCGTCTTACGCGGATCACCACGCGACCTCGCGGTCCTCTGGGGGGTTGCGATCTGCGAAAGTGTGTCCTTCTTTTTTCGTGGGATTCTGGGAGGGTCACCGGAACGACGTCCTACGCGGATCACCGCGAGACTTCACCACGACACCACGACCAGGTAGGGAGGAGGGTTTTGAGGAGTTCACAATTGTTCTGGCTCAAGAATCCGTCGGCCGCCGCCCCCGCTCGCGCCGCGCCTGCAGCGCTTAGCGCAGGGCGCCTATCTGTCATAGCGCGCATGGCGCTGTTCCGCAATGAGATCTTGGTGCGATGCGCTCTCGCTCCCACAAAGCATGTCTCCAGTTTCCCCTCACTTGTATGTTTCCGCGCCCCCTCGTGGTCGCCTCCTGCCAACGATTTGGCTCTGAAAAGTGATGCCGCGAGTGTGGAACATTTGACTCTGGCCCAACGCTCTTTGGCGAAACATTCAATAGCACGGCGGATCCTTCAGTGTTTGTTTTGTATTGAGTGGTCCGATGCATGGTCGCCTCATGTGCACAAAAGGTTGGGTACGTCCCTGGGTGGTTAAACTTCCTTTCGGACTGTGTCCAGCCAGTCAGGGGCAGGATCATGGCCATGGAGCTATTTTCGCAGCCGCCACCGAGCACAGCATGGTGGACATTATTCGGGGTAGTCTCGCGTGCGCGAGACGCTCAGCAAGGAAAGCAATGTTTCGGACAAGGGCCCATGTATATCTGGCTGGACATGCGCGCGGCTGCTGGCCACACAGTCCCGAACAGCGCCTCCTGGCCCCCCCGCCTGACTCTTTCCTCCTCCTCTGCCTCCTCCTCCTCCGTCTCCTCCTCCGCCCGGCGGCAAGGCGGACGCGTCCCCGCGCTCCCCGGCAGAATGGATGGCCAGGTGCTACACCGACCGGACGTCCCACGTGCAGGGCAGCCAGGAGAGCCCGATGGAGGGTCGATCGGCCTCTCGCAGAGGGGGGCAGGGGGACGGGGGGAAGGCTTCTTCGAAGCAGCCCTGCTTCTACGAAGCTTCTAAGAAGCCTTCCCCCCCTCCCCCCTGCCCCCCCCTCTGCGCGCCGCCACAGGAGAGTCGAGGGGGGCCCGGGGAGAGGGCCGAGGAGGGGAGGCGCCCCCACGGGCGCGGAGGCCCAGAGACGTCGCCGGCGACGTGGCCGCTTCTTCGGTCCTGGCGCGGTGATTTCTCGACGCTGGCCTCTGGAGGAGGAGGAGGAGGAGGAGGAGGAGGAGGAGGAGGAGGAGGAGGAGGAGGAGGCGGAGGAGGAGGAGGAGGAGGAGGAGGACCCCCCCGCGCCGGAAGACCTGGGTCCGTGGTCGGGCCCCCCCCCACGGGCCAGCACCAGCGGATCCGGGACGAGAGACATGCCGGTCCTTCCCAGGCACGAGCGCGTCGTAAAAGGATGAGGACGAGGGGGGGGGGGGGGGGGGGGGGGGGGCGAATTTCGGCCCTGGAGGGCTCTCGCCCAGCCTCGGGACCGTCGAGAAACGGTTCGGGATGCAAAGCTGGCCCCAGGGAAAGGGTCGGGACTTCCAGGGGCTCCGCATGGAAAACCTCAGGGCGTCGCACGTCTGGCTTGAGATCCTGATGTTGCAATACTGTTTCACGCCGGGCGTTGTCGCTCAATTTCGGGCCCAGTGGCCCGCACAGATTCAGGAGGAAAAGAAACACACAGACACAATTAATCCTCGATTCCCCAGAAAATATTGCAAAATATGGGAAGTGGGGGGGAAGACAGAAACCCCGAAAATATATGAAAATATGGGGGGTCCTTTTATTTGTGTGTATTTATTTGTGTGTTCCAGTTCCCCTTCACAGATGTCAATCTGGGTTGAAAGACGACGCAGGAAGATGGGGTCCGGGGCTCTGGTCGTGATTTTTCACCATCTTGCAACTGAGTTCGCTCCGACGCGTAAGCCTCACCCTTTGGGGAGGGCGCCGCGGGCACCGGAGCAGACTCCGCCTCGGGCGCGGTGGGCTCGCCGCGGGTTTGCCGCGGTGCCGGCGTCGTCTGCTCGGGGCGCGGGGGCGGCAGGGTCTGCCGCGGGTTTGCCGTGGTGTCGGTTCTGTTCGCTGGGGCGCGTCGAGGACGAGCGGCGCGGCGGCATGTGCCCCCAGGGAAGGAGTCAGAGGCCACGGGGCCGCGGATGGAAAGAAGTCAAGTCGGAGGAGGTCTGGGGGGCGGCCAGGGGAGTCCGGGGAGGGTCGAGGAGTGAGGAGCATCGGGGAGGGACCGAGGATCGAGCAGGGGGACGAGGAGGAGAGGAGGGGAGAGCAACGCAGGGCGCTGTCTCTTCAAAGCGGGATCCCAACACCACAGGATGGTTGGGAGCAGCTCATATCGGAGGAGGTCTGGGGGGCAACCAGGAACGTCCGAGGAGCATTGAGGAGTGAGGAGCATCGGGGAGGGACCGACAATCGAGGAGGATGGAGGCCCGAGGGGGGGGTCTGAGGTCGCCGGGTTGGAAATCGCGAGTGATCGAGGTGGCTCGGAGGATCGAGAAAGGTCGAGGTTCGTGGGCTGGAGGTTGTACACGGTTCTGCTGCTCGTGGGTCCTCCTGGGGCATTCAGACCTAGGCTCCCCGGCGTCTCGAAAGCGTCGCGCCTGTTGGCAGCGGAGGCTCCTCGCAGTTCTTTCTGCACCCCTAGGCGGCATCTGGGCCCCAGGGCCGTTGGAGAACAGGCTGACGGATCACGAGCCGATCCCTGGGAAGATGTCGAGAGCCCGTTGGAGGGCACGCCCCCTGAGAAAGACGCGGCGCGGCAATTTGCTTGAGATTTGGGCGTTGCATTGTTTTCACAGAGGGCGTGTTCGCCAGCTTTCGGGCCCCAGGGCCCTCACGGATCGATCGGGCTCGAAAAGTGCAGCAGACAGAATGGTTTAGGGATTTGGTAGTTTTTGTATGCGATATTGCATTTTGTTCTGGATATCGGATCTTGGGTTTGTTGGGAGCGTCTTCCCTGGCGATCCGATGCGGCCCGATGCTCGCATGCCGCTGCTGTGCATACTTGCACAGCCGACCCGATTCGAGTTCGACCCCTTACCGATGCAGCCCGATCCGACGGACATTCCGACTCGATCAGACTGTTCGATTCGATGTTGATTGATATTGCCCCCCCCTCTCCCAAACGATTCCTCTAACTGCTTCACAACAACATCGCATCTCCTGTGGCCTCCTGAAACCTGCCGAGGCTTCCCTGGGCTTTGTGTCGCCAGCCTGGGACTTTGGGCGCTCCCTGCGGCTCCCTGGGGCCCCCTGAAGCTCCCTGGAACTCTCCAGAGCTCCTTGGGGCTCCGTCGGGCTTCGTGGGAGGTGCCAGCGAAGACGGCCTCTGGGAGAGGTGTCAACATACCTCCACAACTGACCTGAATACCAGAAGGCGCCAATTGCCGCCATCCAGTGTTTTCCTCCCTCCATCCCTTCTCATCTCCGCCATGGCTACACTGTACAGTCAATCCTCAGAGTAAGGATGGCTCAAGTTCTCGGCCTCTGGGGGCTGAGGACGTAACACTGCGCCTCTGGTCAGGGCCAGGGGTTTAGGGCTCAAAGCAGTTTCTTGCACTCCCTCCCTCTCTGCCTCCGATCTCTCATGGCGAGCCGCTGCCGGATCTGTGTGGCTACCGGCGTCGACGGCCTCGCCATGCCGGGCGCGGACGTCTGCGAGGCGCATCAACCGTACAGCACGGCCTCGGAGGGGTTCACCACAGGTCTCACCCAGTCGTTGGACGAGCTCGCCATGGGCAATCCGGCGCAGACGGCGGCCGTGGCCGCCCCGCCGGGCTTGGGCGATTCCGCGGCCACAGGTGGGCCGCTGCGTGCGGCTGGGGCGCCGCCGGCAGTGCCCCCGCTGGGGCGAGTGATCTGGCTCCCCTCCACGTTCTTGTCGGACCTCGTCGAGACGGCCATTCTCCACCATTTCGACGTCATCCAGGCGGCGTCTATGCTCAACGGCGGCTCGGTCGGTCTTGCACCCAAGGACATGCAGGCTGGTTGGGACGCTGTGGTGTCCGCTCTCCGCTCCCTCGCCTTCGACCCCGACGCGGTGGACGAGTGGCACTGCTTAGGCATTATTCCGGCGTCCGGCCCGAAGCCCTCCGAGCTGTTGATTGAGCAGCGCTACGTTATAGCAGCGACGCTTGTCTCCCTCTCTTCCTGTTCCTCTTGGTCTGAAGCCGACAAGGCCTTGGCAGATGCCTTCCAGGAGCGGTTGGAGAAGGCAAGGGAGGCTTGCCTCGCTATGCTTCCAGGACTTCTTCGAGCTCGGGCGCGCGATCCTCGCCATTCTTGTCCACGCTGGGCGGAACTCGGGCGGGAAGCCACTGAGATGGTCTTGCACTCCGCCCCCCAGCCAGAGGAGACGGTTGCTACCCAACTTTCGAACGTGTTGGGGTCTAGCCAGAGTCCGCTCCCAGACAGGGTGCTGGCTCCCCAGGCGGCTCGGGATTTCGCTACTCTTCTGGCGGTTGATGGCGTTCGCGCTCTTGCCGCCATCGGTGCAGGTGGGTTGGTGTGCTGGGCCCCGTCGGATGCTTCGACGCTTGGCCGCCTCAGGGAGTCGTACATGCAGCACGCTGCCGAAGATCCCCGTCCCCGCACGCTTCGCCTACTTGTTCCGCTGGACACCCTTCCGGGCAGCTCCTCGGCCACCAGCATCCTCGACTTGTGGACCCACCCGCTGCTGCATGATAAATGGAAGCCTGTGATTCGCAGCATCGAGTTCACCTCCCAGGCCCTGGAGATCGTGCAATCTGGTGCCGTGGCTCCCACTACTTCTTCTCGCACGCTCATGATAGCCACGGTGTCCGCCTCTGCACCCTTTGTGGCACCGGGTGTCCGCTCAGTGGCGCTGCCTCTCTTCGACCTCGCTCGCGGCCGTGGCATTCGCGTGGACTGTTTGGTCTCCGACCTCATTGTGGTCAGGCGTGCTATGTCCGTGGCGCTCGCTGGCAGGCCCGTGCGCTGGACGGAGCCAATGCGCAGCCCAGGTTCGACGCCCACCTTGACGCGGGTCTTCTTCACTGGCTATTTCCCTGTGGGAGCAGTCTCGGCCCTGGACGTGAAAATGCTCATCTCCATCCTCCGCAACACCCACGTCCCAGCGACGACCCTCCTGGCTTCGGAGGACGTGTTCTCGGACAGTGGGGCGGCGATCTTGGAGTTGACTGACCCGGCAGCGGCCCTCTCGGTTGTGCCACTCTGCGACGACATGGCCTTCGTCACCAGCAAGACGCTTACTCTCCGTACCCTGACGACCGTGGAGGTGTGGCAGGAGAAGCTGGAGAGCATGTTCGCTACTGATCCGGCTTGCTTCGCCTCCAAGCTTCGCTGGCGGCGGTCCCGGAATGGAGGTCGCACCATCGCGCAGCCCGAGGCCACGCAGCGCCAGCTGCAAGCATCGCGACGGATGGCGATGGCGCCCTCGCCCTCGGACCGTTCGCAGCAAGCGGAGGTCGTCGTCCACGGCAGCATGGGGTATGACCCCCGGCAGGTTGAACTCCAGGTTATCCAGGTGCTCGCTTCCAATGGGGTGGTCTTGCGCGAGGGAGTCGCTACGTCGACCTCAACAGCTGGATTCTGGTACTCTGGGGCAGCCCCGGCTTCCTCTGGAGCGGGCGGACGTCTTCGCTTGCATTTGACCTCCACGGAAGAGCTGGGGAAGGTTCGCGATGCCCTCCACGACAAGGCCTTCCAGCTGGGCTCCGAGATGGTCAGCCTGACGGTGTCCGACGATGCCTCCCTCGCAGAGCAGGCAAAAAACGGCCGGAGGGGGGTGCGCCGGCAGGCCGCCCCCCCAAGCGCCGACGGCGCAGCCTGACCACGGAGGCCTCCGCGGCCTCAATTCGCCATCCTGGCGGTGTGCACCCAGTCGTCTATGTGGATTTCTTGTTCCGGCGAGTGGTCCTGCATATTTCGACCTCTTCTTCTTCATCTTCTACTCGCCCTGGGGATCCACGTGCTCCTCTTCCTGCTCTTCCGCATGCTCTTCCTGCGGCTGCTTCGCTACCTCCTGCTCGTCCGGCACCGCGAGTCCGCCATCGCCGCGTTCCACGTCCGCCTGATGCTCCACCCGGAGCGAGTGCCCCATCCAGCGCTTCCCCACCTACCTCTTCTACATCTTCGGAGGGATCTCCGGCCGGGCGCCTGCCTCCGCAGCCGCCTGGCACGCTACCGCGGTTGCCTGGCCCGTATGCTGGGGACTACGAGGGAGTTGCCTGGAACTCGCAGGGATTCTTCATGTCGAAGGCCGCCGGGCATGCTGCGAAGCGCCGCTTCGCACAACGTCTTCTTCAACGTCGTGATTTCCTTGTCTTGAGCGAGGCGCTTGTCACTGAGGGCGCGGAGGCGACTTTCACGAATCTGCCTGGGACGTCCTCGTGGTGGTCGCCCGGCACTGCTGCTCGAGCTGGGGTCGGTGTCATCATTCGCGACGCGTTCTTGAACAAGTTCCGGCTCCGCGAGCCCGAATGGGTTGTGGTCGACGCCGGCCGCCTTGCCGTCCTGAAGCTCTGCGGCGAGGAGGGCTCCCTGGATATCGCTGCGTGCTACTTTCCGACGGGCGTTGCTCGAGCTCTTCACCGCAACTCCGGGGAGCCCCCAGCCGCGCTCCGTGTGCAGCGAGAGACCCTTTGTCGTAAATTGCCCCCGCTGCTTCGACCAGAACTTGCTTTGTTCGTTCTTGCAGGCGACTTCAACTTCGTAGTCTCCCACGCTGATCGCTGGAACAAGTCGTCGGGAGCGCACAGCGGCGACAGCGATGCGGCCGAGGCTGGTCATTGGCGCCGCACGCTGCCACCTTCGAGTCTTTACGAGTTGCACCAACCAGAGCCCACCCATGCAGGGCCCGGCTCGTTCGCTCGTCTCGACCGCGTGTACGTCAACCAGCCCGTGGCCGACCAGTTGGACAAATCGATTTTCTCTGTCGCTCTACCCTGGACGAGCTTGTCGCACCATCGGCCTTTAGCCTTCGGCCGGTGCTCGAAGCCCATCCGGGCACCGCTGGACAAGGCCATCCCTGAGGCGATCGTCCAAGACGAACGCTGGCCCGTGCACGTTGCGGACGAGTACCGATCCCTGATGGAGCTCTCGCCAGAGGCTGGCCCGCTCATCCGCCTGCGCCGCCTCAAGGTGGCCACGCGGGCGGTATCGGCTCGCCTTCTCGAAGAACGGGCTGCCGGGGACAATATGTCCGCGAGCGAGTCGCCGCTGAGCATGACGATGGCTGTGCTGCGCCGGCTGGAACGGCACGGCCTTGCAGATGTGCCCGCGCTTCGTGCCAGGTATCCTGTGCTACGTGATTTTCTCTCAGATGATCTTCTTCAGCATGCTCCTCATCGGTGTCTGTCTCGCCTTCGAGAACACGCCGTTGGCCTTGCGAGGGCGGATGTTCAGTCTTCTCTGCAACGCCTCCACGATGAGGCGCACGGTCTCCCCGACAACGTCCTGCGGCAGCGTCGATCCCAGGTGTTGCTGCAGCTCAAACGCATTGCGCCTGGGCGTTCGACGTCGCTGTCGGCGGTGGCAGGTGCAGACGGCGCCCTCCGCACAGACGGCCCCGGCATGGCCGCGGCCCTCAAGGAGCACTGGAGGGATACATTTTCCGCTCGTGCCTTGGATCGCACTCGCCGGCGGGAGTGGTTCCGCGAGGATGCCGGTCGCGCAAATGGCCTTCGCGCTGCTGCTCGCCAGATGCTCGGCGACACGTCTGCCTGGCAACTCCGCCGATCAGACATTCGACGTGCAGTGTCGTTGACAACCTCCTCTGCACCTGGTCCGGATGGAGTGCCGTATCTGGCATGGCGGCGCCTTGGGGCCCTAGCGGTCGACACTCTGTTCGATGCGGCCGTCGAGCTTTCCGAGGAGCATGGCCGCGACTCCCTGCTGGAGGCGTTCCCGCTGGATGCCAGCGGCGACACGGCGTTCAACTCGGCCAGCATGGTCTTTATCCCGAAAAAGACGGCACATGAGGCCAACGGTATCCGATACCATCTTCCTGGAGAGGTCCGCCCACTTTCCCTGGTGAACACGGACAACAGATTGATGGCTAATGCTTATCGCTTGCGGGTGGAACCGCTGCTCGACAAGATCATATCGCCGGCTCAACGGGGCTTCTTGCCCGGCAGGTCCATGCTGCAGAACGTCGTCGAAATTGACAGCGACATGAGGGCGGCCAGCTTACAGGCCGAGCAGCCGGGCGCGGTCTTCTTCGACTTCGCGGCGGCGTTCCCGTCGTTGGCGCACGACTTCATGGAAGACGTGCTGGAGTTCCTGGAGCTCCCGCTGCCGTTCCGGCTCTTCGTGTCCAATTTGTATTTCGGCAACGGCTGCAAAATCTCCGCCGGCGGGGAGCTGCACGAGGGCTTCAGCATCCGATCTGGGATCCGCCAAGGGTGCCCATTGTCACCTGTGCTATTCGCCCTCTGCGGCGACCTACTGCTCCGCCGCTTGCAGGGCTCGCTGCCGGGCGATACGCTGAGGGCGTACGCGGACGACTTGGCCTTGGTCTCGCGGGACGTCTTCCTGTCGGCGCGCTGCTTTGTCCCTTTGTTTTCCGACTTCGCCGTCATCTCTGGTCTGTCGCTTAACTTGGGGAAGACCGTCTTCGTCCCCCTGGGTGACACTTCGGTGGGCAACTTTCGGCGCCAGCTTGAGGAGCGATTCCCGGGGTGGGGGGCCGCGTGCGTCAGGGATTGGGCAGAGTACCTGGGCTTTGTACTGGGACCTGGCGGGCGCTCACGGTGCTGGCAGAAGGCGCTAGACAAGTATACCAGCCGCGCCGACCTGTGGGCGCAGCTTGGGCTTGGCCTGCATTACACCACCGTGGCGTACAACGTGTACGTGGCCTCGCTCCTTACCTTCCTCCTGCAGCTCGAGGTCCTTCCGGAGGATTGGGAGCGCACTGAGGCAGCAGCCCTCCGTCGATTGGTCCCTGGTCCTGCCCACTGGGTTCTCCCCGCTGACCTGCGAGCTCTACGGCGGCATTACGGCATGCCTCAAGAGTTTGCGGACATGAGCGAGGTTTCGCTGGCCGCTCGTTTTCGCGTCGCTCACCGGGAGGCTGCAGCTTCTGGTGGCTTGGCCGTGGCATCGGCGGTCCGCCGCCTTGACAGGTCGATCGCCGACGCGGATTTCTTCTGGCGCTATGTCCGGTGGTGCTCCTGGTTTCAAGGTGCCTACGTCCGCAACTTGTCTGCGGCAGTGTCCACGTTCCAACGCGTAGGCATCGCCATCCAGACTGTGGAGGCCGACTTGGGAGCTGACGCCCCGCTCCCCCGCACTCGCGGGCAAGCCCGTCGCCTCGCCCACGGCGTGCAGCGAGCGGCTCGGGCAGCGTGGTGCCGCACGTTGCGCAGCCACCCCGAGACGAGACTCAGAGCGAAGTTGGCCAGGTGGCGGCTGCCGATCTATCCGCGGCTTCGAGCCATCCGCGGGTCTGCAGTGCTGCAGCGTCTGGCCCGGCTGGTGCCGCCTCGCGTGGTCGCCGCAGTGCTTCGCACGTGGTTCAATGGCTGGTGCACGGCCCGCCGTTTCCAAGCCCATGGGCGTTGTCTGTTCGGCTGTTCCATGGGGCAGGATTCTGTCGACCACTACATGGGCTGCCTCATGCTACACCGCCATGGCCAGCTTCGACTCCGGCTCCGCGCTGCGCCAACCTTCGAGGAGCGCGGCCTGAGGTTTTTTCTCCTCGCGGGCGCCCACGAGCTCCCGGACGTGATCCTCACCCGGCGGGCCCTGTTGCTCGCTGCGGCCTATCGGCTGCATTGCCGGTGCCGCCGTCAGCCGGCTTTCTCCGACCACGAAGTTCTACGTCGCGCACTTGATCAGGCGGTGAGAGAGGCGGCTCAGGGGCACGCTGGGGCTCTCCGCGCGGTGGACAGCGTCTGGGCGGACGAGGAGTTCGGCTTGTAGCCATGAGGGCACGTACGCGCGCAGGTGCGCAACGAGCGCACCAGAGGATTTATTAACCACAGCTTGCGCGTGTGATGGCTCTCTCCCTCTCCCTCCTCCGCTTTCCTCCCTCTCCCTCCCCTCCTCCCTCCGCTGGGATGCGACACGTACGGCACTCGGGCAGTGCGAATGTTTGCCCCCCGGGCTGTTCACTCAGTGTTTGCCCCCAGGTGTGTTGCATAGGCGACGGCGGACTGCGGCCGCAAGCGCGTGTGCACGTCAGTGCTCCCTCCCCTCCCCCTCCTCGTCCTTCCCCGCTTTCGCCCCCTCCTTCTCCCTGAATTGCCCGTGGCTGGTCTTCCGCACGCGGCCCGCAGTCTCGGCGGCGCTTCTGGCCCCGCTGCTCCTTGCCAGCCGCATGCCCAAGATGCATGCCTATCGGGCGACTTTGCATGATATTGAAAATCTTCAGGCTGAGCCCAGCTCGTCTGTTAGTTTCGGGAAGTGTTGCCTTGAGCGCGTCTTTTCTCCTCGCCTCCCCTCCCCCGGGCTCCTCCCTTGCTCCGTTGTGGATTTATCGACGTGGCCATTTGGGCCGCTAGGGGTGCATAGATCTGCAGTGTTCGATTTAGTCCCAGGGTGCGAGTGCATGCGTCGGCTCACCTATTGCAGGTTGGCTTGAGCGTGCTCTTTGTTTTGGGCTTGATTCCCTAGGCTCCTCACCCCCCCCCTCCTGCGCTGTTTCACCTCTATGCCGGTATTTGTCCACCAGCTGCTGCGCAATGCAGCCGATTTTGAAAACCACGTTGACCGCTCCTCCCTCTTGCCTCCTCCTCCTCCTCCTCGTCCTCGTCCTTCTCCCCTTTCCTCCCTGGATGTGGTGACGTTTACCCGGCCGGCCAATTTACAGCCCTGTCGCGAGCGAGTCATGTGTTGGTGCGGTTATAGCCCCCTTGAGGGGAAGCGGATTTGACGCTCAATCGAAGTTGTCTGGCCTCTGGACGGGCTTCGGGTGATGGGTTCGTTGGGGAAAAAAAATGAGCAACTTTCAAGGTTACCTTTGCATCATCCCCCTCCGGCCCATCCTTGGCCGCTTTCGCTGGAGGCGCCCCGTTCGCAATGGCCTTCCAAGCCTTTGCATCCTCATCGTGCGTCCTTGTTAAGGATCTGACAGGGGCCTGATAGGCCATCCCGCCCAGGCAATTGCGTGCGGTGTCGCTATCCGGCCGTATTGCCGACCTGTCGGCGATGCATCGTCGATTCCAGGTCGATGCTCCCACTCTGAGCCAGTCCCCCGCCATGAACCCCCTCAGAAAAGCTTCCAGAGTGGAAGGAAGAGGCCAGCAGAGTAGAGGCCGGAGCTTCACGTTGAAGGTTTCTGTAGGGCGTCGCGGAGGGGGCAGCGAGGGCCGCAGAAAAGGAGATTGTTTGGGTCCCCACAGAGGGGCACTTCAGGGCCCAAAAGGGGGCCTTTCGGGCCCGAATCAGTGCACCTTTCTCCCCCCCCCCCCCTCATATCGCACGCACCCGTTTAAAGCGACGCCCGAGTCTGAGCCTGTGGGCCCCCGCAGCCCCCAAGGAGTGGAGGCACCACATGGCCCGGAGGGTCACGTCGAAGCTGGCCGTGGCAGGCCGCTCGTCGTGCTCCTCGTCGTGCATTGACAGCTGAGGACGAGGAGGAGGGGGAGGGGGAGGAGGACGAGGAGGAGGGGGAGGACGAGGAGGGGAGGAGGACGAGGAGGAGGACGAGGAGGAGGGGGAGGAGGACGAGGAGGAGGAGGACGAGGAGGAGGGGGAGGAGAAGGGGGGGGGGTGGTGGTGGTGGCCCTCGTCGCGCACTGGCAGCGGAGCCTCGGGGGGCGTCGGTGAGGGGGGATATCGCCGTCGAGGGCGAGGCCCCTCGTCGTCGTCGTCGTCGTCGTCGTCGTCGTCGTCGTCGTCGTCGTCGTCGTCCTCGTCGTCGTCCTCGTCGTCGTCCTCGTCGTCGTCCCTCGTCGTCGTCCCTCGTCGTCGTCCGTCGTCGTAGTCGTCGTCGTCGTCCCTCGTCGTCGTCCGTCGTCGTAGTCGTCGTCGTCGTCGTCGTCGTCGACGTCGGTTCTTGGAGGGCTTCTCGCCCTGGGGTGCTTTCCAGCAGCCGGGCCTCGTCGAGAGCTTGCCAGGGGTGCTCAGGTCGTCCCGAACGGCCACTGGAGGCGAAGGTCATGGCCCGAGAGCCACCTGGCGTCGAAGAGGGGGTGAGGGGCAGGAGGGTGTCGGCAATATGACCAGGGAGCCAAACACCCAGAGATTACAGTGCCCCATAGTCTTCGTCCGCATCTTCTCTTCTTGCTTGTTTTTCTCCTTCGTCTCCTTTTTCTGTCGACACGTTCCCTGGACCCTCCCTCTTCCGCGCACATGCCTCGGGCAATGATTCGCCACTCCCCCCCATAGCCATGCCCCCCCTTCGGCGCGCCAGGGACCCTTTCCATCGCTTGAGTGCATATGCACGTGCAACCCCTTCGTGTTGTCTTCTGAGGACTACAGAGGGCGCTCCAGAGAGAGCCCCGCCTATTCGAGCATCGAAGGAGCTGGCATTTCTCTTCTCGGCGGAAGGCGGCGGAGGGCGGCGGAAGCCAAACGAGGCGGCCTCTGTCGGCGGAAGTCTCTTGGGGAATAGGGGGCGCTCCAGGAAAAGGCCCCTATCCTCGAGGCTCGAAGGCGTTGTTGGCACCTCTTCCTCGAGGATCGGAAGGGCGGCGCAAGGCTGGGGGCGGAAGGCGCGGCGGAGGAATACACCGAGGTGGCCTCTCCGCCGGGAGGGAAGGCCGGCGGCAGCCCCAGCGGAAGTTTATTAAAGAAGTGCGTCCCCCTGGGGAGACGGCAGTGCTGTTGGGGTTCCGGGTTTGTCCGGGGTGCCCGCCCCTCCCGATGGGCATCGCGTAACGGGGGGGCGATAGAATGGAGGGCAGCCATGGCTGCAGACCACGGGCCCTCCGGGGCTTCTAAAGGAGCCCTCAAGGGGGCCCTCAAGGGGGCCTTTGGGACCCGAGAAGTGCACCTTTTTTCCTCCCCCTCTTATCGCCCCCCCACTCAGCGACGCTCGAGGGCAGCGGGTATCGGGCATATCTGCCCGCCCGCAGCCGGCGGGAGGCATATCCACATTACCACCACGCCCCAGAGCCCCAGCCACACACTCTGGAGGTGCTACTCTGATTCGCGCACTCAAAGACCCTCCCCATCGCCTGGGTGTATCCACGTGCACACCTTCGGGGCTGCACTGGGGAAACATCTAGGGAGCTCCAGACAGAGCCCTGCCGATTCGAGGATCGAAGGAGTTGGTAATTACCTCTTCCTCAGGGTTGTCTTGTGGAGAATGTGTAGGGCGCTCCAGAAAGAGCCTCTGCCTTCGAGAATCGAAGGCGCTGGCAGCTCTTCCTCGGCGGACGACGGCGGAAGTAAACAACGAGGCGCCCTCTCCGCTGGCGGAAGGCCAGCGGCAGCCGCAGCGGATGTGAAAATAATGCGCCCCCCTTAAGAGACGGCAGCGCTTTGGAGGGGGGTCATCCGGAGCCCGCCGCAGCGGGGGGCAGCTGGACGTCGCGTAATGGGGAATCGATACATGGTGGTGCAGCGAGGGCTGCAGAAAAGAGGCACTTCGGGCCCGTAAAGGGGCCCTTGCGGGCCCAAAAGGAAACCTTTAGGGCCCGAGAAGCGAGTGCACTTTTCTCCCTCCATCCATCGCCCCCCCATTCAGCGACGCCGAAGGGCAGCGGGCAGCGGACATCTGCCGCCTGCAGCGGGTGGGGAGGCATGTCCACATCATCCATCCACCACGCCCCGGGGCCCCAGACACACTGTAGGCGCCACTCTGCCTCGCTTGGCCTGGAGGGGGTGCTGCTTGCCGTGGGCAGCCCCTGACCGTTTCTTGCGCTCCCTTGTTGCCCGGCGTCCCCGGTGGGGAGAGACTTCTGAAGGTGATGTGCGGCGGAATCGATCGCGGAAATCACGGGATGTGCACGAGGAGATGGCAGGCGAGGAGTCCGGGGACGAGGAGGTAGATGCGGAGGAGGTACGATCAAGGACGATTAATGACGAGGAGGACGGGGAGGTGGCGGTGGCTGTCATTGCATTACAGAAGGAAGCGACATCCGAGCAGAGCGACACGCACCACGACACCGCCACGCCGCCGCCAAGGACGACGATGGAGGCGAGGCGCGCCAACGATCCGCAACGAAACATGGGTCTGGGAAAGGGCCCCACCCTGCGAGGTCTTGATGCACAGGAGGCAAAGGAGGAGGAAGAGAACGAGGAGTAGGAGGAGGAGGAGTAGTTTTGTTATCGAGTTTTAGCCTGGGAGTCCTCATCGAGCCCCAGGACCGTCAATCGTCGGCCTGGGATGTAGAAGCGTCGCTTACGAAGGCTGTTTCAGCAGATCGCGCTTGCCTCGTGGAGTTGCCCGTATGCTGGCATATCCGCATTCCTCGTTTCCCTGCCCCCCCGAAGAGAACGTCGACACCAGGGGAGACCTCGCCCTCCATTCTCGAGCTCTCACCAGCAAGCTGGCCGTTTAGAAAAGGAGGGAAGCTCGGGGATAGACCCCCAGAGTGATGCTTCGACGCACCGCCGTCTGCTACCCCCGCCATCTTACCTCCCTGCACTGGCCCAATGTGTTTGTCGCGCCGTCTCGCCGGAAATCCCGCAAAGTCTGGGATTTAGGGTCACCATGCCCACCGTTATGCCCCAGAACGGGCGTGCTTTGGTGACGGGTCTTCGGGAATGACCTTTGGACACCTGGGGGCCAGGTCGTTTGGGTCTTGGCGCACGCCGCGGGGAGAGCCGCGGCCTGGGACCCGGGCCTGCCAGGCCCGCCAAGCTTTGGCCAAAAGCGCGCCCTGGCGAATGTGTGATTGATCGCACGGAATACTGGCGGGCCAAGGTACAAGATCGAGGTCGGTTCGGCGAGGGTGCCCTAGTGTTTGTCGTGCTTGTCGGCTTTTCTCGTGCACCCTGGGCAGGGTACCCTTGGATGTTCCGTATGATTTGGCCGGCGGAGGGTCTCGTGTTCTTGAGGGATGTTCTTTTGTCTTAGGTCGGACCGTAGAAACAAGCTGGCCAAGGTGCACTGTTGGCCCCTCTGGGGGAAGGGGGAGGCTTGCACTGCGGGCCGCCGCCCTCCGCGTAATGGGGGGGGCGATAGATAGGGGGGCAGCGAGGGCTGCAGAACAAAGGGCCCTGGAGGGCTCAGGAGGGGGCCTCTAGGGCCAGGAAAGGGTACCTTTCTCCCCCAGTCCCAGCTATCGACCCCCATGGATTCGCGCCCGACCTTCCAGGGGGGGGCGCTGGCAGCCCCCCCCCCCCGGTGCCCCTGCGAAGTGAGGTCATGAACTGCCGGAGGTCCATCGGCGTCACACCGACATGCTGATGCTATGCGCGCGTCGCCCCCCAGGGGCGAAGAGCGAGACGACACACCGCAAGCCTGGTCTGCCACATGTTCGGGTCGGACGCGCGCCCCCAAGGAGAACACACGGTGCTGGTATGTCCCTGTGCGCCGCAGTCCATGCGGGTTTCTTAGATCTGCGTCGGACCGCTGGTGGCGCCGCTCCTGGCGCGCTCCGCACGCCAGGGGGTGGGGGTCTGGCTGCTCTCCGCCCTTCGTGGTCCATCCTGTCGAGTCGGTGCTGCATGCCCGTGAGATGTGCGGCGGCCGCCGCGCCGCCGAGGTCGGGCACTGCTCTGTGAGCCGTAGGGGCGCTGTCCTGTGCCGCTGGCCCCCATTCTACCACAACGGGAGGTGTCAGAGCTGTGCCGGTCGGGCGAAGAGAGCTATGCACATGCACCGATCCTTGCAATGCCCATCCTTGACCCAGGATCGGTGCATATGCCTTCCTGGCCAAGGTAGGAGGGCGTATGCACCGATCCTGGGCTCAGGATGGGCCTGGCCAGAATCGGTGTATGTGCATAGTTCTCTTTCCTCTAGCCGGGACTCGTCGGCGCTGATGTGGAAATTTCGGGGGACAGTTTGCGAGGGCGATCGGCATTCCGCAAGCACCTCTAGACGTCGGAGTCGTGGTCGAACGCTTCGTTCTCCCTTCTCGGAGCGCGAAGCTGGCTCCATGTGCAGGGGGTCTTTGCCCCTGGAGCGCGAGCCTGGCGTGGTTTGCGAGGGATCGTGCCCTCGGGAGCGCGAAGCTGGCGTCACACCTGCAAAGCATTCTGGCCTCGGGCGCGCGAGCCTGGCGCAATCTGCAGGGCAGGCTCGGCCTCGGGAGCGCGCATCGAGCGCAACGTACCAGGGATTCTGGCTTCGGGAGCGCGGATCTGAGGGAGTTTCGGAGGGCCGTGGCCTCGGAAGCACGAGCCTCATCAGGGAAAGCCTCCCTGGGAGCGCGATCCTGCGAACTCGCAGAGAAAGGATTCTGCCTCGGGGGCGCGAAGCTGTAGGAATCTGCAGGAGGGATGCTGGCCTCGAGGGCGCGAACCTGCCGCAATGGAATTGGAGCCTGGCACCGGGAGCGCGCAGTCGGCGTGAATTAATTACGGTAGGTTCATGCGGCGTTGGCGCGCCAGCGACGCCGGCAAAGGCGTTCAAGGTTGAATTCTGTGACGCGGAATCAGCGACGGACATTGTAACGCCATTGGACCCGACTGAATTCAACCTTGAACGATCGGGGCCGCGATCGGTTCAAGGTTGAACGATCGACGCGGTGTCAAAAACTTTTGCGTGCGCCGACGCCGCGCGAACCTACCGTACATGGGGCTTCGGCCTAGGGAGCGCAAACCTGGTGTACATGACATTGGATTCTGGCGCAGGAAAAGCGAATCTTTCGTAATTTGCAGAAGAGTAACCTTGTGCCGATGATACAAAAGGACCCCCCCCTTTCCAGGTTGGAGTTGGTTATCCACGGCCAAGAAGAGTTTGGTCAGGGGCGCGGGGCGCGGAGGCCGAACTTGTTTATCACTGTGAAAAATTCACCATCGAGGTTAGCTTCCTTCTTGTGTTGAGATAGCAATATCAAACGAAGCGAAGACGTTGTCAAGGATGTCTCAAGCGAAACCATCAATTTTTAGAGGCCGCCTCAAGCGAAACGATCAGTTTGTCAAGGATGTCTCAAGCGGAACCAACAATTCATCGAGGATGTAGGCCCTCTTAACATCACCTCTTTCTCTTCTCACAAGCTGGCCTCTGGTAGGCAACCTTTGCAATCCCCTCACGACCCCGAACTTTATGATCCCTGTGGGGTTAATCTCCGTGGTGTTCGGTTATGACCGCAGGGGGCGAACCTGGCATACATCGCGATGTGTCCTGGCATCGAGAGCGCGAACCTCGTGCAAGTTGCAAGGTATTGGCCCAGGGGCAGGGCTCCCTGGGCCTGGGTGCTTCTCAGAACCCCGGGAGGCCGTCGTATCCATGGGGCGGTCTCAGCACCCCGACCCTTGAGCGTGGAGCGCCCCAGAGGTGCCGCCTCCCTGGCGGCGCCGGGGTGTTGAGACCGCCCAGTGGGCTACTCGTGGGGCCTGTCGAGGCCAGCTGGGACTGCCTGGGGGGGGGACCGTCTGCGCGCAGCCGGAAGCCTTGCCATGGTCGTGGGTGGTGGCGGGGGAGGGAGAGCTGCAGGAGTGGTGGTGGTGGTGGTGGTGGTGGTGGTGGTGACGTGGCCCCCCTCTGAGGCACGAGAGCGCTTCCACAAGTGAGCGGGATCCTGACGTCGTCGACCCTCACGGCCATGCAGACGGTCGCGAGCAGCCAGATCGGGGCGGCGAAAAAGACGCACTCTACCCCCGCGCCAACCTGGCGTGGAGGAGGAGGAGGAGGAGGAGGAGGAAGGAAGGAAGGAAGGAAGGAAGGAAGGAGGAGGAGGAGGAGGAATGAGGAGGGCGAGGAGGACGATGAGGGTGAGGAGGGCAATCGGGCATGATGAGGATGAGGATGAGGATGAGGATGAGGATGATGAGGAGGAGGCGGAGGAGGAGGAGGAGGAGGAGGAGGAGACGATGGGGAGGAAGATGAAAAGGAGGAGGAGGAGGAGGAGGAGGAGGAGGAGGAGGAGGAGGAGGGGGGAGGAGGAGGGGGAGGAGGAGGAGGAGGAGCTTGAGCAGGAGCATGAGCGGGGAGAGAGAGGAGAAGGAAGAGGGGGAGGAAGAGAAGGTGGACGAGGAGGAGGCGTGGAGGGAGCGAGGAGGAGGAATGAAACATACATCCCCAGGACGAAAGTTTTCCTCTTGGGGCCAGAACGACGGTCTGAAGTCTTGAGCAGACGCGTATGAGATAACCGACGTCGGATCCCATGAAGTTCGCGCGGATCCACTTGTTGTTTTGGTTTTGGTTTCGGTGGATCCGATTTCCGTCCGCCTGGATCCGAATTCTGATTTTTTGATCCACGTCCGGCCCCATTTTTTCCGGCGGATCCGATTCCTACGCCGTTTTAATTTTGCAGCATCAATTTAAACGGGAAGCTGGACGAAGTCGGATCCGCGGACCCTGGAACCCGCCTGTGTTAAGGTTCTACGGGGGATGGGGGTTCGGCCGTCAACGCCCGAGGATGGGTCCTGTGCTGCCTCGCGCGCTCCCATGAACTTTTCGCGCGCGAGGTCCTCACTCAACATGATTGCATCTCTCTCCTCGTGGACAAGCGGCACGCAACTCGCCCAGACGCTGTCCGTTCTGCGGCGCCGAACTCATCATCGCCATTTTCACCACAAGAGGAACATCGCTCGTCTTGCGTAAGTATATATGCATACAGAGAGAGAGGGCGAGAGAGAAAGAGAGAAAGGGAGAACACGAGAGAGATATAGAGAGGGATAAAGAGAGAACACAACAAAACGAGAGAGAGAGAGAGAGAGACAACCACCAGCGGAAGGGAGGGTGGCACCAGCACACAGGGCGGAAGTGTGTCGGAGGAGTGGAGCGCGGGGTAGGTGTGTGTCTGTTCTGCCCCCCGATCATAACGTGCACCCTCGCGCGACTTTGCAGAGTGTCGTGAACAGCATCGCTTTCGAGATGGTGTCGTTCTCCCTGATACTGGCGAACACTGTGATCGCCAGTATCCGGATCGACTGGTTTGCGACATGCGCGCGCTCTGGCTGTCCGAGCGGGCACGACCGCGTGCTTGCATGGGCCGACGAGTTCTTTCTGGGATTGCTCTTGGCGGAGGTGGTGCTCCGCATCACGGCCACTCGGTGGAAGTACTTTGTTGGGGACATGTCGCAGCCAGGGGCAACGTTAAGGGGGGGATAGGCCCAGGGAGGTACACATCGGCCTCCAACCGCGCATTTATCGCCGGTAGGGGCCCGATAGCGGACCCCGCCCAGGAGAGTGCGGATTCGTTCTCGGGGGCCTATTGCCGATCTATCGGCGACGTACCGCCGATTCCAGCTCGGTGTTTCCCCACTGAGCGGGTCCCCCCCTAACGCTGCCCTTCAGGATATGTGGCAGTGGAACGTTCTGGATGTTCTTCTGGCAGCCTGGGGCGTGCACGCCGTGTGTCAGGGCAGGAGCACGTTCACTTATCGAAGACGCCTATGGCGAATCACCGCCGAGTCCTGCTTTTTAGGATACGCCTATGTGGCCAAACGTTTGGGCAAAGTTTGGCAACGCTATTGAACCATGTGTTCTCCTAGCCGTTGTGGAAGCCCTTCGAGGAATACATGGGGGAGGAAGAGGAGGAGAGGAGGAGGAGGAGGAGTAGGAGAAGGATGAGGAGACCTCTTGGGAGCTTCTTGGGTCATTCTTCATTCTTGGGGCCTCCTGGGAGCTTCCTGGGGGACGCTTGGAGGCCTCTTGGGGGCCTCCTTGGGCCTCTTGATGGAGGCCTCAGGGGGCAGGCGGCGCGGCCCGGATTCTGCTGACAGCGCGGTCCGGCAGCGCTCATCATGGTGGTCTGGCTCGATCTGGTCCGAACATGCAACTGACAACGAGGTCTTTGGCTCCGCAGGAGCGGCAGACTGCGGGTGTTGTGTGTTCACATCTGTTCTTATCGATTGCCCCTCTACTGTGGCTCTCGTCAGATGTGTTTTATGAATGTTCCTATAGCTTGCCCCTTGCCTGCGGCTCGAATCCGATGTGTGTTTACATTATGTTCCTATCGATTGTCGCTCCCTTGTGGCTCGAATCACATCTGTTTTTACATATGTGCCTATACAATGGATGCCGTACGTATTTCATTTTCCAGTAGCCCGAATCCTGTGTGTTTAACGTACGCTCACATAGAATAGATTCCCTTTTCCTGAGGCTCGAACCCGATGTGTTTTACGTATCTTTCTGCAGATTGCCCCATACATTGGGTCTACCGTTTGTTTCACGTGTGCTCCTGTTGATTTCTCCTTCTCTTGGGGCTCGAATCCTGTGTGTTTCATGGATGTTCCTATCGGTTGCCCCGTTCCTGGGGTCTACGTGTGTTTCACGCATTAGTGAGTTTCCTTTTTACTGTGGCTCGAATCCTGCGTGTTATGGATGTTCCTATAGATTGTCAATTTCTTTGTTGTTCGAATCCCATGTGTTTTAAACATGTTTCTATAGATTCCCTCCTCGAGGGCCTCGAACCCTCAGTGTTTCACGCTTGTGCCATAGCTTGCCCCTGTCCAGTGGCTCGAATATGATGTGTTCTTACGCATGTGCCTATAGACTGTCCCCCTCACCTGGGGCTCGAATCCGATGTGTGTGTTACGCACGTGCCTATGTATTGGCCTTCCCATGTGCCTCGAACCTTATATGTTTTAAGTGTGTGCATATATATATATATATACACAAGTGCATGTATGTATATACACATATATATATGAGTCCTGTGTCGGCTACATTCTATGTGTCGCTCGAATATGATGTGTTCTTGTTTTTGTATTCCGTAAGTGCCTATGTATTGCCCCTGTCCTGTGTTTCGAATCCGTATGTGTGTTTACGTATCTGCCAGCATATTGCCCTTCTCTTGTGACTCGAGCCCTACGTTTTACGTATGTGCCTATAGATTGCCCCTTTCTTTTGTCTCGAATCCGGTGTGTCTCCCCAAGCCTCCCCGGGCCCTGGGACGGAACGTCGGTGTACACTCTAGGCGCCCCGTCATCTTGAGGTCTCACCCCCCCTCTCCAGTGGCTCGAAGTTTGTATGTGTTACGTATGTGCCTATAGATTGCACCTCTCCTATAGCTCGAAACCTGTGCGGTTGTTACGTATGTGCCTATATATTGCCCCTCTCCTGTGGCTCCAATCCTTGTCGGGTTTTACGTATGTGCCTATCGATTGCCTTCCTCTCCTTTGGCTCAAATCCTTATATGTTTGACACATACATGCAAATTGCCCCTCCCCAACTGCGTGCCGCCAGATGAATTGGACTGGTGAGCCTTGTGTCTCGAATCCGATGTGTTTTGCGCATGTGCATATAGACTGTCCAATCTCCTGGAGCTCGAATCGTTTCTGTTTTGCGAATGTTCCTGTATATCGTCCCGCTCCTGCGGGTCGATTCCTATGTGTTCTGCTTACGTGCGCACCTATCGATTACCCTTCTCCTGTGGCTCAAGCCCTACATTTTGTTTTCGCTTGTGCCTACCGATTGCCCTTCTCCTGTGGCTCGAATCTGGTGTGTTGTACGTATGTGCCTACATCGTGCCCCTCTCCTCGGGCTTGACTCCGTATGTGTTTTACGTATGTGCATATACATTGCCCTTCTCCTCTGGTTCGAATCCAACGTTTTTTGCGTATGAGCCTATGGACTGACCCTCTCCTCTGGCCCTCGAATCCTTCTTGTTTTACGCGTGCGCCTATAGGCTGGAAGCCTATTTGTTGTATGTTTGTGCCTATCGATCGCCCCTCTCCTGGGGCTCGAATATGGTGTGTGTGTGTGTGTGTGTGTGTTTACGTTTTAGTGGTTCGGATCCGATGCGTTCTGCGCCTGTGTCTATACATTGCTCCTCTCCTGTGTCTCGAACCTTGCGTGTTGCGACGTATGTGCCTCTCTTTTTATATCTATATATATATATATTCCTTTCCATGTTTTTTATATATAATCTGGGGGATGCGAAAATCCCCCCGAAACGGGACCCCCCGGATCCGTGGCACGGGGGGAGGCCGGAAATCTTTGCTAAGGCGTGCACGCAGGCGGGTGGCAGTCCCAAATCGATCGGCGAAAGGCCCAAGAGCCACCCAAGACGGTCCACGATGGCATCCAGCTAGCGTTGACCCCCGCCGGATGCCCGAAGATCACCCCAGTGTCACCCCAAAGAGGCGTTCGGACCCCAAAGACATTGATGTTTCACTAGTTTTGTATGATTTTCGGATACTCGCTAATTCGGCCTTCCACGCGTCCGAGAACGTTGGAAACGCATTGAAAACCGCTCCTAGACGGCTCAAATGAGCCTCATGAGCGCCCGAAACGGCCCCCAAACTGCCCACAAGAGTCCCCATGACCGCCGAAAACTGACCCCACGACGGTTGGCGCAAGGTCTTAGAGACGCCACAAACGGTCCAAGATGGCATCATGCGGTCCAGGCCGTCCAGGCCCTTGCTGGATGTGCGAAGGCGCTTCGAATGTCACCTCCAAGAGGCGCTCGAAACCCTGAAATCTTGATTTTCCAATGGTTTTTGTTTTCTTTTTGACTATGCCCTCATTCAGCTTGCCAGGCGTCCGAGAACGCAGGCGAGGTACCGAAAACCGTTTCCGACTTCAGAAAAGCCGTACGGGGGCCCACGACTGCTCCTAAACTGCCCACAAGAGCCCCATGACCGCCCCAAACTGACCCCAAGGCGGCCGGCGGAAGGCCCAAGACACGCCCAAGACGGTCCAAAATTCCATCAAGTTGGCTTTGGCCCTCGTCGGATGCCCCGAGGCGTCCCGAAAGGTCCCTCCAAGACGCGCCCGGACCCGAAAGACACCTATGTTTCAATGATGTTGTAAGATTTGCTACCATTCGTTCCCTCGCCCTGCCAGGCGTCCGAAGCTCCGAACGCCGCTCCAACTAAACCCAAACGCGCTTCCTGAATCCCCAAAGCGGCCCCGCGAGGGCACGGGACGGCCCCCAAAGTGCCCATGGGCGGCGCCCTGACGGCCAGGGGAGGCCCCAACACGAGCCAAATCAGCATCCTCTTTAGGATGGCGCCATGAGGGCCCTAGACGATTCCCAAATTGCCCATAGGCGGCTCCATGACAGCCCGGGGGCACCGTCTGGACGCTCCTCAACAGGGCCACCCAGGAATTCCAGCTCTCCAGGGCGCCTTCTCAACGTTCACCCAAGCGTGCAAACGGGCGAGCGGCAGTCCCAAGACGCCCCGAGGACAGTCCGAGGTGGCTCCGAGATGGGCCACAAGGCCCTCACACCGCTTTGGCAGGCCCCCATGTAGATCCCTGAGTTCTCGCCCGCTCAGATGGTATTTCACTACGAAAAGCCGGAAACCCAGGTTCGCAACCACTTTTCTGGAAATTCTGTTGCGCACCCAGGACTCCAGCAGGTTCCATTTACGCCATTCCGTACGCCCGTGGCCCCCGACTCACAGTTTTTGCCCGTCCCAAGTTGACTGCCCCCTTCTCCCCTTGCCCCGCTTTTCCGTGATACGAGCCAGCGAGCACGCTTCAAAGGGAAAAGAGGAAGGCGCGACCGGCCAACCGCTCCAAAGCTTCAAGGAACAAGGTGTACGGCGCGAAGCGCCAATGCAGCCTTGTATGTGTATATATACACACACCTATACGACCACCCTTCGGGTGATAAGGAGCTTTGGGGGCAGCAGTGGGCAACAGTGGTGGGTGTTGTTCTGACGATGCCTGTGGTGCGCAGTCTAGTGAGTAGTGTGATTGTGATCGTGAGCGTGATGTGATGTGGCGATGTTGACGAAGCGCACTCGGCATTGTCGTGAAGCGCTGCCACCGCGTGCGTTTATCAATCGCGCGAACCTCACATCAGCGCTAGTCGACGTGGTCGAACGTGCGTGCTGCGGTGCCACCCTCACTAATGCTGGCGCCACCCGATGCTGCCTTGGTTGCAGGTCTTGCGTTCCAGGCACTTGCAAAGCTTGGTGTCAGCGGCGCCTGCGTGATGGTGGCAGCATTTCCTGACGGCGTTGGTATGCTGGTTTTGCTTGGGCAAATGGCTGCGGTCCGACAGCGACAACGGCGGCACAGCATACAGCACGGCATGACGACGTGCCTTTCGATTTGCATTTGGATTTGCATATCGATGTACATGTCGATTTGCCTTTCGATCTGCATCTCGATTTGCATGCCGACATATCGATGCGCATGCAGGTTTGCTTTTCGATTTGCATCTCGATTTGCATGTCGACTTGCATTGGAAAGCTTGCCGCTGGCGCCGATTCTTTGAATACGCAGGCGCCTTACGATTTGCATGTGGATGCACATGTCGATTTGCATTTCGATGTGCTTTTCGGTGTGCATGTCGGCTTGCATGTAAACTTGCATTGGATAGCTCGCCGCAGCCACGGCGGGACACCAGCGGGACACCGCGTGGCACCGCTTGCCGCATGGAGAGACTTTTGGTCCGGCCGCGGCCCGGCCACAGGAGGATTTCGGGACACCAGCGGGACACCAGCGGGACGCCAGCGGGACACCAGCGGGACACCGCGTGCCACCGGCCGCCGGAGGAGAATCATTTGGTCCGGCCGCGGCCCAGCCACAGGAGGATGTCCTCTCGCCCGCCCACGCAGCTTCGCCTCGCCCGCACGTGCGCACGGCGCGCACGACACGAACCCGAAACCGAAGTCGATTTCCCAGTAGGGGGGGTCTCCGTTGGACGTCGGACTCACCCCCTATGTATGTATTGCCCTTCTCTTGCGGTTCGAATTTGTTATTTTAAGTATGTGCCTATCGATTGTCTCTCTCCCGTGGCTCGAGCCCGACGTGTTTTACGCATGTGCCCATAGATTGCCCTTTTCCTGTGGCTCGAATCTCGTGCCTCTTTAACAGCCACCCCGGGCCCCGGGAGGGCACGTCGGAAATTCATGCGCATCCGTCGAGAACCCTGCACGTGGATGGCGATTGGCATGAATCTCGAGACCACGCAAGAGTGTTGGCGAATGGACTTCCTGTTGGGCACGGGGCGGAGCTCGTATGACCCCGCGAGTGCCATCCCCATGCGCACGTACATAGGAAGGACGCCGGCGAGCTTGGCGGTCGCACCGATGTTGGCGCAGGCGCGCATGTCGTCGTGGTCCTTCTGGATGACCCTAGCGGAACGCCTGTCGATTGCTGGATGGTAGAACAGGATTCTGCGCGCGTGCTTGGCGTTCGGACGCGCGCGTACGTTCATGGCGAACGACACCCCGCGCCAACCGCAGGCGCTCTCGCACCAGCCCCGCGCGCACGGAGTCGAGGATCATCTGTGTAGCAGACTGCGGCTTTCAGCTAGGCCCAGACGTCGCCCCCGAGTTGTTCGCTGCCCCTCGCCCGCGCGGCCTCGAGGATGCGCGACAGGCCCCGATCATCGAGCCGCTTCGCGTTCACGAACTCGAGCGCGGATGGGGATGTCCAGCAGGAGCTTCCAGGCTCAGCGTGCGCCCCACGTCAACGGAGACGCGCCCTCGCGCGGCGAACGCCTTCGCAAGCCTCTGTGGTGCGCCGCCCGCGAATGCGGCCCGCGCGCTCCGCAGTGCGCCCGCAGGGGGGGCCTTCTGGATCCCCGTGCGGATTGGAAAATTGATGGACTACCGTTTTGCCGCGATGCTTGTTAGCTTGCCGACAGTTAGGCGCGCAGTCTTGCGCCCCCTCCTGCGTTGGTTCCGCACCGTGCTCTCGCGACCGCGGCGCTGCCCAGCTTGTTGCGCCCTCTGCTCTCGCGACCGCGGCGCTGCCCAGCCCGCGCCGCCTCACTTGTTCCGCAGCCTCCCCGGCGAACTTGCCGCCGCTTCGCTTGGACGGTGGCATCCATCGGCCACCAGACGGGACAAGTGTCTTTCAGTGCACTCGGCAAGTTGGCAAGACCGCAAAGTGTGGCAGATGTAGTGGGTTCCGGCCTATCCCGCCGCCGTGCCTGGGTTGTTGGTAAGAAAAAACCATGCGGGAAGCGCCGTGGAGCCGCGGGAGTCACGCTGGGAACCCAGGAGCATTCGAGATTTGGGGCCCCGGCCCTTTCTCTGGACCAGATTTAAGTCGGGCCCGGCCCTCTATAGGAGGAATATTCAAAAATTGCCAAAACATAGTATGAGGATTTGTTTTTTGCGTTTTTTGTGCCATTTTGGAGCACGTTTGGGGTATTTTTTTCTGTTTGGTCGAAAATCCCCACGTCGGGGACACGCCCGACTTAAGACTACAAGGGGCTCGAGGGCACTCCCACTCGTGGCGCCCAGCTCGCGTCTGCACTGCGCGTGGCCCTACGACCGCGACCTTCCTGCTCCTGAAAGGCCACGACAGATCAGTTCGGTCCCATTGCAATTCGCCGAACGCGTTCCACTAATTACTCGCAAAGTGCCTACTCGCTTCAGAAAAAAGTCTCCCCCTTTAGTAAATCCCCTGCGGCGGATTCAGGCCATTTGCGAGTAGTTGATTTGCGGGTAGTGGAGCGCGCTTGTCCAGCAATGATGCGAGGGAAAGGCCACCCGGACGCCTACCTCTTCCCATGCATCGGGCCTCGCGTAACAGAGGGTGATAATTGGGGGGGGGCAACGAGAGCTGCCGAAACGAGGCCCCTTACGGGCCCTAGAGGGGCCGTTCAGGGCCCAAAAGGGGTGCTTTTCGGGCCTACAAATGGCACCTTACTCCACCCCCCAAGTTATCCTTCCCCTATGAATTCGCGCTCAAGTGCAGCGGCATTCCAATCCGTGCCTCGCGGCGCGGGGGCGGACACCAGGATTGTGCGTTTCTTTCGCCTGGTGCGGCTGCTCAGAGTAACCAGCAACGCGCTCTGCCTCCGCGACCTCCGCCTCATGGCCTGCACGCTGCTGCAGTCGCTGGTGTCGATCTTCTGGGCGTTTGTGCTCCTCTTCGTCGTCATGTACTGCTTCGGCGCCTGTTTCACGGATGCGGTGTCCGGCTTCCTAGCAGGCACCGATCGCACAGGCGCCGGCGACGGGCACCACGTCCACGAGGAGCTCGTCGGGCCCCTCCTCTTCTGAGGGGGAGGGGGCCCGGGTACCCACTATAGCGCAGAGGCCGGCACGTTCAAATTCTGGGCTGGCTTGGCCAAGATCCGTGTCGGCGGATAGTCGGGGGTGGACAGAAAGCCCCAACAGTGACACGTCGATTAGTGAATTGTCCGTTTTCGGTTCTCGAGATGGCGCCGTGGCCGTTCTTTTCCAGGCTTGCGCCCGCCAGGTTTGGGCCTCAGGGTCGACTTCACTAGACCACGTTTCACTAAAGGGGGGTCTGTCCACCCCCGAGATAGGAGACGTCCCAAGAACTCCGACGTCGCGTGTTTTTTTCAAAACTGGGCTCCCCTGAGGTTCGGGCCGGGCGAAAGGGGGGGATTGGGAAAGGGGTGGTTACGAAATTTGCTGCATGCAGCTGGTTTCGGCCTCACCGAGGGGCCCAGTCCTCGATACATACCTAGCCGCCTCCGGCGCCGGGAGGCGCCGGGAAAATCAGCTACGTGAGCGGATTCTCACCCCCCCCCTTTGCTATCCCCCCCTTGCGCCCGACCCGAGAGGTGCGGACCCCAGCCTGCGGACTGTTTTTATCCTCCCGGGTCTTCTTTTGACGGGCCCCCCTCAGGGCCGGTGAGGGCCCCGGGAGGCAGGGAGTGGCCGAGAGACCTCCGGGTCGTAGTTTCCGAAGGTCGGGTCGGGCGAAAGGGGGGGATTGGGAAAGGGGGGGTTACGAAATTTGCTGCATGCAGCTGGTTTCGGCCTCACCGAGGGGCCCATTCCTCGATACATAGCCGCCTCCGGCGCCGGGAGGCGCCCGGAAAATCAGCTACGCGAGCTGATTCTCAAACCCGCCCTTTGCTATCCCCCCCTTTCGCCCGACCCGAGAAGGGCGCGAGGATGGCAGGGCCAGAAAGACTCAGGAGAGGGAAAACACACACACAGACACAATTAATCTTCGATTCCCCAGAAAATATGGGAAAATATGGGAAGTGGGGGGGAAGACAGAAGCCCAGAAACTATGGGACAATGTGGGGAACATTTTTATTTGTGTGTATTTATTTGTGTGTCCTGGGGCCCCTTCAAAGACAAAGGATCGAGTTGGGAGGAATGGAGCTGGGAGAAATGATCAGACCGTCCGTATGGTCGCGCATGCTGCATGTGCTTATTGTTCTGTCGTGCCGTGTATCTTCCCAGCCCCATCCTCCCAACACGATCAGTGTCTTCTCACAGTGTCTCCACTGCAGGATTCCTGGCGCCGTCTGGATCAGCTGTACGGGTCCTTGCCCAGGACCATGTGGACGCTGCTCCTCGCGATCACGAACGGCGCGGACTGGACGACGCTTGCGGAACCGCTGGCGGATGTGCACATGGTGCGCAGGGCAGACAGAGCCGTTGTGGCAGTCGAGATTCGATCTTTTCACCCTCCTCGTCCTCTCTCTGTCTCTCTCTCTCTCTCTCTTTCTATTTCTCTTGTTCTCTTCCTTTCTCTGTTTTATCTCTATGTGTGCCTCTCTCTTTATTTCTCTCTTCAGTTTTTTTGTTGTTGTTGCTCTCTCTCTCTCTCTCGTTATCGCTACGTTTCTCTCTCTGTCTCTGTCTCTGTCTCTCTCTCTCTCTCTTTCAGTCTCTCTCTCGCTCTCTCTCTCTCTCTCTTTCTCTCTTTCTCTCTCTCTCTCTCTCTTTCTCCCTTTCCAATCTTCCTCTCCCTCCCTTTATGCTTGTCTGTCTATCTGTCTGTCTGTCTGTCTGCCTGCCTGCCTGCCTGTCTGTCTTTCTCTCTCTCTCTCTCTCTTTACTGTCTCTCTTTCTATTTTGCTCCTAGCCTTTTTTATGCTTCGGCCGTCCTTAGGTATACGTGGCCATTTTCGCAGTGTACGTCGTTCTGGTCCTCGTCGGGGCGCTGAACGTTCTTACCTCCGTCTTCGTGGAGCGCGCGCGGGAGCTCAGCAGTTCGGACAGGGACCTCGCCACGCAGGCAGAGCTGGCCTCGCAGGAGGCGTTCATCGTGGAGATGCGGCGCATCTTCGAGGAGGTGTCGGCGGGGCGCTCAGGGGGGTGGCGCGAGACGGGTGGTCTTCTAAGGAGGCAGCGGCCTTCTTAGAAGTCAGGGGGGGTTCTTGCAAATTCTTGGGGGGCTTTAAGAAGGCGTCTCAGAAGCCGAGATGGCTTCTGAGAAGGCCCCCGCCTTCTTAGAAGCTCCCCCGCCTTCTTAGGAGGCCGCCCCCACGCATCCACCCCCCTCCCCCTCGTGTGCGCCGCCAGGTGGACGGGGACAAGGACGGCATGATCACCTGGGAGAAGTTCAGGGACTATCTGAAGAACGAGCAGGCCCAGGCCTTCTTCACGACGCAGGCGCTTGTGCATCGGGTCTGCTCGTTGTGCCCTCTTCTTCGGAGAATCGTACATGCTCGTACTGGTGGCAGTCAGCCCAACCCGTCACCGTGCTTGGTCGTGAACACGAGGCCTGACGGAGGACTGTGGGCACGTTCCCGAGAGTCTCTTGGGAGCCTCTGGGAGCTCGAAGGGGCCAATTGCGGGCCTGCTGGTTGTCTTGTGTTCAGTCTTGTAGTGGAGTAGTGGAGTGCTCAACTATCAGTTCGAGTTCCCCCTCTTGGGCCTTTTCTGGGGTCTCCTGGGAGCCGCCTGGGCTCCTCTAGGAGGCCTCGGAGGCTCCTCTTGGGCGGTTCTTTGGGGCATCTGGCGCCATCTTGGACGCTCCGATAAAACAAACATTAGCCTGAAAGGAACCAACCATGTTGCAGCTGCGAGTGCCGAGAGGGAGATGCGACGAAGGAGGGGGGCGTGCAAACTCCGAGTAGCGCACGCGGTATAGCCTTCTGCCACGAAACGTGCGAAGGGTGTGCCGACATGCGTCGGGATGACTCCTGCGAACGTCGCCATTGAGGCCTTTCGTGTGGCTCCTTATGGGGCCACGAACCGTGTGAGGGGTGTGCCGAAATAGGGCGGCGGTGCCATGCGAACTTTCCCACTGGGGCCTTCGGTGGAGCTTTTATGGGGACACGGGACGTGCGAGGAGTGTGCCGAAATGAAGCGGCGGTGCCACGCGGACGCTCGCGCTGGGGCCTTCGGTGTGGCTCCTTATGGGGCCACGAACCGCGTGAGGGCTGCGCCGAAATGGGGCAGCGGTGCCATGCGGACGCCCCCACTGGGGCCTACGGTGGAGCACCCGATGGGGCCACGAAACGTGTGAGGGATGTACCGAAATGGGGCGGCGGTGCCATACGGACGCTCCCGATGGGGCCTTTAGCGGAGCTCCCTATGGGGCCACGAACAGTGTGAGGGGTGTGCCAAGATGGGGCGGCGGTGCCATGCGGACGCTCCCGCTTGGGCCTTCGGAGGAGCTCCCTTTGGGGCCACGAACCGTGTGAAGGGTGTGCCAAATGGGGCGGCGGTGCCCTGCGGACGCTTCCGCTGGCGCCTTCGGTGGAGCTCCTTATGGGGCCACGAACCGTGTGAGGGGTGTGCCGAAATGGGGCGGCGCTGCCATGCGGACGCACCCGCTGGGACCCTCCGTGGAGTTTCTTTGGAGGCCACGACCCGTGTGAGGGGTGTGCCAAAATGGGGCAGCGGTGCCATGTGGACGCTCCCGCTGGGGCCTTCGCTGGAGCACCCTATGGGGCCACGAACCGTGTGAGGGGTGTGCCAAAATGGGGCGGCGGTGCCATCCGGACGCTCCGGCTGGGGCCTTCGGTGGAGCACCCCGTGGGGCCACGACCCGTGTGAGGGGTGTACCGAATTTGGGCGGCGGTGCCACGCGGATGCTCCCGCTGAGGCCTTCGGTGGAGCTCCCTATGGGGCCACGAACCGTGTGAGGGATGTGCCAGAATGGGACGGGGAGGAGGGAGGAGGGGGAGGAGGGAGGGGGAGGAGGGAGGAGGGAGGAGGGAGAGGGATGTGAGGTGAGGTGACGCGGGGCGCTATTTCTTCAAAACGAGGACCCAACACCACAGGATGGTTGGACAAACATCTGCACATCTGTTACAAAACATTATACATCGTGGGATGTTCGATGAATGTGGCATGTTGGGTCGGCCCCCAGGGCCTCCAAGGCTGCAAACAATGTCCTCAATAGAGCCCCAGGACAGTTCATGGGTTTGCCGAGGATTCCTCAACCTGTCGAGTGTTTCTGGAAGGCCATGAGGGGACGTCGGAATCGGTTTGGGCGCGTTCGGCTTGTGGGAGGTCCCGGCGGCAATCGCCGGGAGCGCCCCAGAGCGCCTCGGGATTGTGGCAATTCCTTCTGCTCCGCACGGCCCCACTTGTTTACCCCTCGCCGCCGGCGCTTCCGCCTGCGTTTTTTTTTTTTTTTTTTTTTTTTTTTTAAAATAACAAAAAAAAAAAACGGCCGCACTCGCCCACGCCAAAAAGGTGTCCCGGGTGCGTTGCCGTGCCCAGAGGCTCAGAGAGAGGGTCTCGGAGGCCTCTCAAGGGGGCAGCGCTGCCAGCCTCCTGGGGCTCTCCTGGGGCCCTCTTGGGGTTCTCCTGGCACCCTTTTGGGGAGCCCTTGGGGGGGGGGCCTCGTCGACGACGTCGAACAGCAGAGGCCCCGTCGGAGCCCGAACAATCGCCCCTCGGGGACTCGGAGCCTCTCCTGGGGCGCTCTGGGGCGATCTTGGAGCCTTCTTGATGCCACAGGCCCACCGGAAGTGAACAGCCATCCCGGGGCCCACCGACTACAATAGGTTGCGCCACAGGGCTGCGGCAGGCGACCCGACCGAATTTTATGATCCATTATCGTTTGTACCATTGCGCCAAAAAAAGGTTGCGACAGGCATTCGCAGTTCAGGTATGTTTAATTTTTGTCTGTGGCGCCTGGAGGGTTTACGAAATCCTTGCAGCAACTCATTGGTCATGGGAATGGACGGTGCAGGCGCTCGATACCTCCGACGCCGCCGGGCTGTTCAGCTTGCTGGACAAGGACGGCAGGGGCAAGATCAAGGTCAGGGGCACGAATCCGACACACACACACACACACACGCACTACACTTCCTCCTGCTTTCAGGGCTTTCCTGCGGGTGGGCGGCTGGCCAGATCCGTCCCTTCTGCTCCATGTGGGCCAGTCAGTACACCTGGTATGGGGTAGAAGGGGGAGGAAAGGGGGGGGATCATGAGGAGGAGAAGAATTGGGGGGAAGGATAAGATGAACGAGAGGTGGCGGGGGAGGGTGGAATGGAGTCGTATGTCCGCATTGCGACCGACAGACCTTGTTGGGAACCGCGGAAATGGCAGGGCCGTTTTTTCACCGTTTCTGAAAAAGTGTTCCTTGAAAATGGAAGCGGCGAAAAAACGGCGACCGGAAACGGCAAACAAACGGATCCGGGATTGGAACCAAAGCCAGATTGGAAAAACAACGGCGACGGAGCCGGTAAACAACACGTCGGAATTGGCAACAAACGGCAACACGGAACCGGGGGAAAAAACGGCCCTGTTGTTTCCAGGGCCCACTAAAGCGTCAGACCCCCGATCTCAGGCAGATTTCGTGAGGAGCATCGCGAAGGGAGGAGGTGGCATGCAGCATGAGGGGAGGAGGAAGGATGAAACTTGGGAGTGACGCGGGAGGAGGGAACAGAGAATCAGGAGGGAAGAAAGGAAGGGGGGCCGGAGGAGGAAGAGGGGAGAGAAGGAAGTGGAGGAGGAGGAGCAGGAGGAGGTGGGTGACGTGGAGGGGAGGAGGAAGAGGAGGAAGTGGGGGATGAAAAGGAGGAGGAGGGCGAGGAGGAGGAGGTGGAGGTGTAGTTCGAGGAGGATGAGGATGATGATGATGATGATGATGATGATGAGGAGGAGGAGGAGGAGGAGGAGGAGGAGGAGGAGGTGGAGGTGGAGGTGGAGGTGGAGGACAAGGAGGTGGAGGATGTGGAGGTGGAGGGGGAGGAGGTGGAGGAGTAATTTCGTGGAGGTGAGGAGGAGGAGGAGGAGGAGGTTGGAGGGAGGAGAGAACGAGGAAGAGGATGGAGAAGGGACGCAGCGGAGGAGGACGTCCCTGCGAGGTTGAAGACTTCGCCCTGGGGTGCATGAAGCTGCGCGGGCAGGCCAAGAGCTCGGAGGTGGCCACCCTTCTGCGCGAGAGCCGCAAGGCGAGCCGGAAGCTCATGACGGAGATCCGCCAGCTGAAGGACCAGCTCGAGCTGGGCCAGCCGGGCGAGGCCTCCCCTCGTCTCGTCAGGTCTTCCTCACCTGGTCCTCGGAGTGAGTAGGAAGAGGGACTGATCCCGCTACCCTTGCCCAGTTTTTTGCCTTTTTGTTGGCCTATTGGGAGGCCCTTCTTGCCATGGCTGGAGTCGCGTCGAAATTGTGGTCAGAACGAACCCCTGGAGAGGTCTGTACAGTATGGTTTGGTTGCCCCACGTCAGACCATCCCTTCGGGCTGTGCGACTCCTGGGCGGCCACCCCTCTTCCTGCACTCCTCCGCCTCCTCCACGGGGGTTTGCTCTGGAACAATTTGAAAAGCCCCCCTACCCGCTCAGCTCTCAATGGTGTGCGTGGGTGTATGTGTGTGCGTGTGCGTGTGCGTGTGCGTGTGCGCGTGCGTAAGCGTGTGCGAATGTGCGCTTGTGCGTGTGCGCGTGTGCGCGTGTGCGCGTGTGCGCGTGTGTGCGTGTGTGCGTGTGCGCGAGTGCGCGTGCGTGTGCGTGTGTGTGTGTGTGTGTGTGTGTGGGTGTGGGTGTGGGTGTGGGTGTGGGTGTGGGTGTGGGTGTGGGTGTGGGTGTGTTTGCGTGCGTCCTTCTGCGTGTGCGTGTGCGTGTGCGTGTGTGCGTGTGTGTGTGCGTGTGTGCGCAAGGGTCCGCCCCCTGCTGGACCCGCACCTCACGGCCTCCGGGAGGCCATGAGGTCGCGGCAGGCCTGTGATATCAGCCCCGACGGTTATCACAGGCGCTCTGGTGAGCGATATCTCAGGGGTCCTACGCTTGAGCCGATCTGAGGCTTTTGAACCTCAAGAGCCGAGTCCAGAGTCCTCCAGTTCTCCCCCTCCTCCACATCCCTTGAACCTTCTCTCGCGTGCGAGGTCCCGATTGGGCGGCGCAGCCTCCCGTCTCGCCCGTCCGCCACGCGCGCGAGGGATAGATAAGATAAGACCAGTCGCGGGAAACAGTTTTTTAAAGATGAGAACAGTCGCGAAGCGAGTTCAAACAAATCGAGGACATGGCCGCCTTCTCAGCTTTGCTGAGACGTATCAGCATGAGGCCTCTGAGATTTCGATCCAAATAGTCCCGACGCGTCCTGTTTGAAGGCCAGGTGGCACATGCCTGGGCCGGACTCCGAAGTTGCTGCCGGCCATAGCACCCACAGGACCTGCTAACCATAGGCCGAGGGGCTCGTTATACAACCAACTGTGAGACGGATGAACCCACCTCCCAGCTAGATGTAAACGCCGCCCTTGAGGAACCCTGAAGATATGATCGGAATTTCGTTCTATTCGGAAACAATGTGAATTCAGAAACTCCGCGCGCGGGAAGGAGGAGGGGCACCCTTCCAGGACGTTCTGGGTGGGGGTCCCTGGAGGCCCAGTCGCCTTGTTCGATGAAAGCGGGGTGGTTCCAGGCTGCTTTTTGGCCGCCCAAGTGGGGCGCGAGTACTCAGACAAACGTTTGTGTCACAACTTTATGCCTCTGGGACCCCTGCCGGGTACTGCGACCGTCATAAGACGGTCCCGGATGAAGCACTGGTCTCAGAGGAAAAGGTCCAGGCCTCCGGGCTGGTCCACGTTGTGAGCCAAAAACCTCCGAATCGGAGGTGTGGGCCGAGTGGATGTGGTCGGCGGATCGCGCCGCATCGCCAACGATGCGGCGCCATGCAGAGCCCGATGCTCCGCCAGCGCCGATGATTCGCTGATGCAGCGGGGGCCCTCCGTCCCCCGTCTGCTCTGGGCCCCACCTGGGCAGTCGACGACACACGGGCGATGCCAAGGGGGGTCGCTACCTCCTCCTGGAAGTTGAGGATCACCGAGGAGGAGGGAGCGGGACGAAGCGGTGAAGCTCCGTAGGAGGAAGGATGCGGGCGACGGGCGGCTTGCTCTCCTTCTCTCCGTGTGTATGCGGTGCTGCCTGGCACTGGGCTCGGGTGGCCTCGCCACCCCGAGCTCGTCACCACGCCCTTGTCCTGTCAGCCTGCGCTCGGCCCCGCCGGGTGCGGGCCAACGGACGCCGCGAGCGTGTCGCCCCGATGGCTTGGCATCGATGACCGAGGAGGCCTCGGGACGCTTCTGGGCGTCTCTGGGGGGTCCAGGTGGGCCCTGTTCCTGGGGAAGGTGGCGACCCCCTTGGTGGTGCACTCCGTTGGAGTTGCCTAGACGACCACGAACGTCGTCGTCGACGACCGCTCGTCGACGAGCGTTAGAATGAAAGAAATAAGGGGAAGTGCTGGTATGTTGATACTTTCAGAGTAGCCGTAAAATAGGTTACGCAAATAGGTTAACCACAACGTATACGTAGACTCGACATATGTAAGTGATATGGCATTATGATATATTGCGTAAGTTCTCCAAGCGCAAGCGGTGTTTGCAGCGCGCAGCGATTGCCTTGCCGGGGGAGCCGATTGTCATGGCAGCCCAAGGCGCTCATGCGTCCTGCAGCGGCGCGCGTGACCAGCTTCCGTGAATTGGCGCGGCGCGGGGCCTGGCGTCATTTGTGCGCGTCCAGCAAATTATTGGCTAGGGGCCCGCCCATCTGCAGTTCTGATCGTAGTTTCTGGTGGAATTTCTTCGGGGCCAGGGGGTGCGCGACAGGAGCGCGCCGAAACGAGCCAGGGCCGCCGCGCGAGCGGTGCCGGCGGGGTCGGGGCTTTCAGCGGGGCATCCTGCGGGGCCACGACACGCGTGACAGTCGCGCAAATATGCCGCGCCCAGCCGCTGCCGCCAGGGCCTTCGGCGGGCCCCCCCGTCGAGCCGCGAACTGCGCGAGGGTTCTGCAGGTGCCGCGTGCGGCCGCCGCTTCTGGGGCCTTCGGCTGAGGCCCCATGGGGCCACGACGCGCGCGAGTGGTGCGCAATTACGCGCGCGGCCGCTGACGCTAGGACATGCGGCGGGTTCCCTTATTCGTGCCATCGAACTCGCGACGTGTGCGCATGTGCCGCGCGCGGCTGATGCCGCCGAGGCCTTTGATGGAGACCGGGGAGTGCAAGTACCGCGCGCGGCCGCTGCCACCGTGGCCTCGACGCAGTCGCCCGTGGGGCCGCGAAGCGTGCGAGGGGTGTGCAAGTAGGGCGCGCGGCCTCTGCCACTGCGGCTTCCGGTTGGGCTAATGCTTGAGGGGCCTGCGAGCGCCGCGCGCGGCCGCCGCCGCTGGGGGCTTCGGTGGGCCCCCCATCGGGGGCGACGGCTGGGGCCCCCTTCGGGGCCGCGTTTTTTTTTTGCGCGGGGGCATTGCCCTTGAGGCGCCGCCCCAACGACGAGCGGTCGACGAAGACGAGTTGCCGACGACGAGCGGTCAGCGGCGAGACCCTCATGCCCAACGTATCCAAAAGGCAACGGCATGAACAAACACACGACCTGAATCTCAGACCCCATCTTTTTGTGCCACTTTTCGAGCCGGATCGATATGTGAGGTTCTTGGGCCCCAATAGGAATGCAAACGCCCCTGCGAAGCGCTGCAATGCAGGATATGCGGGGCGGTCGACGCTAGGTCGGTGACAAGCGGTCCACGATCGGTTGAGCCGCGAGGCGAGGCACAATGGCCTACGGCGCGGCGCGGCGCGACGACGACGACTAACGGGCGACAGCGACGAAACGGCGGTCGACGATGAGCGGTCGACGACGACGGTTGGTCAACGATGACGAACGGTCGACGACGAGCGGTCGTCGACGACGAAAAAGGCGGGCGACCACGAGCTTTCGGCGACGACGAGTGGTCCTCGACGACAGGCGGCTGACGACGACGACGACGAAAAGGCGATCGGCGACGACGAGCGGCCGACGACGACGGGCGATCGACGACGAGCGGCCCTTGACGACGAAGAGGCGGTCGACGACGAGCGGTCGACGACGACGAACGGCCGACGACGAGTGGTCGTTGATCACGAAATGGCTGACGACGTGCGGTCGACGACAATGAGTGGTCGACGACGAGCGGTCGACGACGTTGACGCACGGTCGACGACGACGAACGGTGATCGACGACGAGCCGTCGACGACGACGAAAACGCAGACGACGACGAGTGGTCGACGCCGACGAGCCGTCGACGACGACGACCGGTCGTCGACGACGAACACACGGCGGACGACGAGTGGTCGACGACGAGGGGTCGACGAGCGTTCGAGCCGCAAGGTGGAGCACGCCGGCCTGCGGCGCGGCGCAGCGCGCCGGGCGGCGAGCTGCACGCCCTCTCGCACGGGGCGTTCGGGGAGCGGCCGGCCGCCCGCCGGTCGTTGCGGGTCGGGGACGTTCGACGTATGGCAGGGTCGTCTAGTGTTTCAGGGGTGCCGACCCTAGATAGCTGTCCAGATAGGATCGCGCCGTGCAACAATCAGGGCGGGAGGTTTTGGTAAGTTTCGGCCTCGGGGGGCCCTCTCTGGGTTTCGGGACCGTTAAACAACGACTCAGGATGAACAACCAATGCTGGGAGAAGGGTCGGAACTTCTGGGGTCCCCGTCTGGAAAAAATCAGGACGTTTGTGGACTGCTCCAGAGCGAAACAAAGACGTGCATGCACATGGAGCCGCTTTGGTTCCGAGTGTATGAATTGCGCGAACGTTCGTATCAGGCGGCCAGTCTCGCGGATGGGGGGGGCCGTGTTCATGCGCGTGGTTGGACGCGTACGTTTTGGGGGTGCTCCCTAGTACTGCAGGTTCTTCCACTTTCTCATAACTTTCGACCTCTCGGGGCCCTGACTGGGGACTGGGCCTCGGGCCCGTCAAACCACGACTCGGGATAAAAAATGGGTCCTGGGGAAGTGGTCGAGATATCGGGGGCTCGCGCTTGAACAAATCGAGACGCCGGTCTCTGGGTACGGCAAGTTCCCGTCGTGTCGACCAGCGGCGACCCCGCCGCCAGCGTTCAACGTGCCGCCGACGTTCAACGTGAACGCCGCCGGCGACCTAGAATCTGTCGATGTTGAAACGATCGAACGTTTTCGGAAATGGCCGATTGTTAAAGCTTGAACGGTCCACCCGGTGTCGGCATGAAACGAACTTGCCGTCCGATTTTGCATTTTTACCTAACAGCGAAGACTGATAGGTTTCTAGTAGGGTCAAAAGAGAGCATCATGACTCCCCAGGGGGGTCTGGGCAGATGGGGGACGGGTGCCGCGGAAAACCGGGGATTCTTTTTTAACCAACAGTAACGCACTTCGTGGTCTTCGAGTTCCCAGAACTCCATTCCTGGGCATGATTTTGAATGCCCGGAGCCAACTGTAGGCCACCTCGTGGTCTTCGAGTTCCCAAAGCTCCGTTCCTGGGCATGATTTTGAATACCCGGAGCCAACTGTAGGCCACTTCGTGGTCTTCGAGTTCCCAGAACTCCATTCCTGGGCATGATTTTGAATACCCGGAGCCAACTGTAGGCCACTTCGTGGTCTTCGAGTTCCCAGAACTCCATTCCCGGGCCACATTTTTTAATGCTGATGCAGGCTGATGTTGAGGCTGCTGCAGGCTGAAGCTGAGGCAGGCTGAGGCTGAGGCCGAGGCTGAAGGCAGACTGAGGCTGAGGCTGAAGCAGGCTGAGGCTGAAGCTGAGGCAGGCTGAGGCTGAGGCTGAGGCAGGCTGATGCTGAGGCAGGCTGAGGCTGAGGCTGATGCAGGCTGAGGCTGATGCAGGCTGAGGCTGAGGCTGAGGCTGAGACCGAGGCTAAAGGCAGACTGAGGCTGAGGCTGAAGCAGGCTGAGGCTGAGGCTGAGGCAGGCTGAGGCTGAGGCTGAGGCTGAGGCTGAGGCTGAGGCTGAGGCTGATGCTGATGCTGAGGCAGGCTTAGGCTGAGGCTGAGGCTGAGGCAGGCTGAGGCTGAGGCAGGCTGAGGCTGAGGCCGAGGCTGAAGGCAGACTGAGGCTGAGGCTGAAGCAGGCTGAGGCTGAGGCTGAGGCAGGCTGAGGCTGAGGCTGAGGCTGAGGCTGAGGCTGAGGCTGAGGCTGAGGCAGGCTGAGGCTGAGGCAGGCTGAGGCTGAGGCTGAGGCAGGCTGAGGCTGAGGCTGAGGCTGAGAGGCAGGCTGAGGCTGAGGCTGAGGCAGGCTGAGGCTGAGGCTGAGGCTGAGGCTGTTGAGGCAGGCTGAGGCTGAGGCTGAGGCAGGCTGAGGCTGAGGCAGGCTGAGCTGAGGCTGAGGGCTGAGCTGAGGCTGAGCTGAGGCTGAGGCTGAGGCTGAGGCTGAGGCTGAGGCAGGCTGAGCTGAGCAGGCTGAGGCTGAGGCTGAGGCTGAGGCTGAGGCTGAGGCTGAGGCTGAGGGCTGAGGCTGAGGCTGAGGCAGAGAAGCTGAGGCTGAGGCTGAGGCAGGCTGAGGCTGAGGCTGAGGCTGAGGCTGAGGCTGAGGAGGCAGGCTGCTGAGGCTGAGGCTGAGGGCTGAGGCTGAGGCTGAGGCAGGCTGAGGCTGAGGCTGAGGCAGGCTGAGCTGAGGCAGGCTGAGGCTGAGGCTGATGCAGGCTGAGGCTGAGGCAGGCTGAGGCTGAGGCCGAGGCTGAAGGCAGACTGAGGCTGAGGCTGAAGCAGGCTGAGGCTGAGGCTGAGGCAGGCTGAGGCTGAGGCTGAGGCAGGCTGATGCTGAGGCAGGCTGAGGCTGAGGCTGAGGCTGATGCAGGCTGAGGCTGAGGCTGAGGCAGGCTGAGGCTGCTGAGGGCTGAGGCTGAGGCTGAGGCTGAGGAGGCTGAGGCTGAGGCTGAGGCTGAGGCTGAGGCTGAGGCTGAGGCTGAGGCTGAGGCTGAGGCTGAGGCTGAGGCTGAGGCTGAGGCTGAGGCAGAGGCTGAGGCAGAGGCTGAGGCAGGCTGAGGCTGAGGCTGAGGCTGAGAGGCAGACGCTGAGGCAGGCTGAGGCTGAGGCTGAGGCTGTGGCTGAGGCTGAAGGCTGAGGCTGAGGCTGAGGCTGAGGCAGGCTGAGGCTGAGGCTGAGGCAGGCTGATGCTGAGGCAGGCTGAGGCTGAGGCTGTGACTGCGACTGCCGTTGCCACTGCGACTGTCATCGCGAATGCGACTGCGACTGCGAGAACAGCAGAATTCTACAACTGGATTCTCATCTGAATCGTAAGGGGAATGCTTCAAGATATGTTTTTACACATCGCTGTTAGGTTGCTTTGCCGGGATAATTTTCCACAATTGGCGGTTTCGCCCGATGTCGGACCCTCTGACCACTGGGGTCCCGAGACCGCTGAATTCAAGCAGTGGCGAAGCGCACCGAGTTGCTCATAAGAATGCTCTGAGAACCGCTCTTGGTTTGCACGACGTGTTCTCAGAACACTCCTGTCTGAGACCCTCCTGTCTAGATATCACCAGCTTCAAGTCCCAAGAGCACTGTTGTCCGGCATTCGCCCACTGGGGGGACCCCCTGGGCCCAGACTGGGGGCCCCGAGGCCGCCGCAGGCGCTGCGACGGCAGCCGCCTCTGCGCCTGGGCAGCGGCGCCCCCGCGCCCCGGCGCCCCCGCGCCCTCCCCATACAGGAAAGCTGCGCACCCTTGGCTCGGGCCGCGCGAAAGGGGGGGATTGGGAAAGGGGGGGTTACGAAATTTGCTGCATGCAGCTGATTTCGGCCTCACCGAGGGGCCCATTCCTCGATACATGGGCGCCTCCGGCGCCGGGAGGCGCCGGGAAAATCAGCTACGGGAAAATCAGCTACGTGACCTTTGCTATCCCCCCCTTTCGCCCGACCCGATTGGCTCACGCCTGCCCGGGGTCACTCCTGCGCGTGGCCGAGTCTTCGGGGGAACGTTGCGGGGGGGGGGGGGGCAGGCTCAGGGATGGACGCCAGGGGTGGACCCGAGCGGTGTTTGGAAGACTTCGTGGGCCGTCCTCGTTTCGATTTCGTTTTGCGCGAAAGGCGGATCGAAGACAAGATGAGGGAAAACGATAACAAAACGAAAACGAAAAACACCGTTTAGGTTTAGCCCTGATGGACGCATCGACACCCAATCGCCCATTCCCTGCACTAGTGGTCCACAACGGTCATCTTCGCCCGGTTCCGGGCCCCAGGATCCTCCCAGAGCGACCCGTCTCGAAGCAGAGTGCAGCCTGGTGTGGGTTAGGGCTCTGGTCGGGATGTGCCGCGATGGTCGTCCGAGTGCGGTTTTGGCGTTGGGACGGCAGCGTGCGATGCGGCGCCGCCAGCCCACGTGCCGCACGCCGTCCCACACCTCGGGGGCAGCGCGCACCGAAGCAGCCCCGGCGGGGGGACATCGTGCGCAGGAGGGGGGTCCTTGCGGGGGGATCGCCTCACAGGGACAGCGCGTGGCGTTTGGAGCGCGAGGTTGCGCGCTGCCTTTCCAGCGCCAGCCGTACCCCTCAGGTGAGGTGCGGTGTTTGTTTCACAGCCGTCCGGGAAGCGTAGGGCTCGAGTGGCCCGGAGCTCGGACTTGCTGCCGATGTCTGACGAACCCGCCTTGGGTTCTGACGGTCCACTTGTCATGGGATGCTTGCCGCGGGAGCTCGCGTCTGATTTCAGACTGAGTCTCTTTAGTTTCCTGACGGCCCCGTCAGGCCAACCCGAGTCCCCCGAACTCGAGTGCACGTCTCCCGATCCGGGCGTGGCAAATTTTACACAAAGGGCGTTTTCGTCGGGTCTCGGGCCCCAGGATCCTTCAGGGGCAACTTTAGAGGGGAATAACTGAACTCAAGGTCGGGCGCATCGACCCCCAATCAACCACCGAGGGAAGATGATCCTGATCTCGGTGGTGGTGGTAACACTCGGGCTTCTCAGGCAGCCGAGAGATTACCACCAGCACCAAGCTCTGAGATCATCTTCGCGAGTGGGGCCTCGAAAAGCGGGCCCCGGCTGCAGCATCCTCTGGTGCCGCACCGTGCTTCGGCCTGACGGAGCGAGGAGGAGGATGAGGAGGAGGAGGAGGAGGAGGAGGAGGGGGAGGAGAAGGAGGAGGAGGAGGATGAGGACGACGAGGCGGAGGAGAAGGAAGAGGAGCAGGAGGGGGCGCGTTGCGAGGCACCCCTCAGATGTCGGCGTGGCACTCTCTTCTCGCGACGAGCGCGTTCTTCACCCGGCCTCGGGCCCCGGGGCCCTTCCGGGGCAGCGTGAGGGGGAGGCTATGCTCAGGGGGGGCGCGTGGACCCCCAATGCCGGCTCGCTGTTTCCCCCCTGCCACCCGACGTTCCCCAATCAGAGTTTTCCTCTGCAGGGGTCCCAGCGGATTCATGTGGTAAGGTGAGGTATGGCGCCGATTCGGCGGCCCGCCCGGGTGCCCTATAGCCGCACGGCCCCAC